TTGAGTCTCTAAATTTGGGGGTGTTGAGCTGGCCAGATAGCTCAGCAGACTAAAGCACCTACTAAGAAAGGTGCAGTGACTGGGGTTTGATCCCTGGCATGCTGTGTCGACCCTGCCCCCTGGCTCTGTTGATATACCATGTCACTTTTATTGATTTATGTATGTTAAACTATTCTGTATTCCTGGGATGAATTCCGCTTGGTCATAGAATGCAGTTTTCATGATGATTTGCTGCACTGTTTCCTGGTATCTTATTGAGGGGCTTTGCATCTATCTTCATTAGGCATATTGGTATGTAGTTCTCTTTCTGATTGGATCTTTCTCTAGTTTTGGTATAAGGGTAATGCTTGCCTCTAGTAATTATTAGCTGGGGAGTGTTGCTTGTCCTTCAGTTTCATTTCATTGAGGAGTATTGACATTAATTCTTATCTAAATTTCTTGTAGAATTTAGCAGTGAATCTATCAGGACCTGGTCTTTTCTTTGTTGGTACATATTTAAGTATATTTTAAACTTTATTAACTGATATTGAGCTATGCAAAATTTTTATATCTTCTTGAGTTTTGGAATTTCATTCATATCTAGGAATCTGTCCATTTCTTCTGTTTTCCATGTGATGAGAATAAAGATTGTTGAAATAATTATTGATGATCTTTTGAATTTCCACAGAATCTGTAGCAGTTTCACCCCTTTAGTTCCTCAGTGCAGGAATTTGAGTCTTTCCCTTGTTTGAGAAGGTTAGCTAAGGGTTTATCAATTTTATTTATTTCAAACACCTATTTGGTTCATTAATTCTTTGTATTGTTTCCTTGGTCTCAACTGCATTAATTTTTGCTCTGATCTTTATAATTTTCTTCTTTGTATGGCCCTTGGACTTGACTTATTTTTCTCTTTCTCAAAGCTTGAGGTGCATCATTACGTTATTTATTTGTGCGCATCCTATTATCCTGATGTGAAAATTCGCTGCTATAAATTTCCCCCTTAGGATTGCTTTCATTGCATATCACATGTTCTGGTGTGTTATGTCTGCACTTTTGTTTTCTTGTGGATATCATTTCATTTCGTATTTAATTTCAGCTGTGATTCATTGGTTGTTCAGAAGGATGTTGTTTAATTTCTACTTATGAATATTTTGTTGTTTCTTTTGCCATTAATTGTAAATTTCATTGCACAATGGTCAGACAATATGAATGAAGCGGGGGGCTGGGGAGATGGCTCAGTAGGATAAGCGCTTGACTGGCAAACGCAAAGATCTGAGTTCAATCCCCAGTTCCGCCAAAAAAAATATATATATGAATGAAGCAATTCCAGTTCCTTTGCCCTCACTGAAGCCCATTGTGTAGGCTGGTATATGGTCTACTTTAGAGAAATTCCCATGTGCAGCTGAGAAGAATGTTCATTGGGTTTATTATTAAATACAGGTTATTCACTTTTGCCTCATTACCACAGAAGCTGCAATGTGACCTTTGTCTCAGGAGATGTATGAGATAGACAGGTCTCAAGTTTGCTAACATGGCTGGGGTAGAATCTTTCATTCCCTTCCTCAATAATTCACATTCTTACATCCCTCGTGCTTAATAATTATCTTGAAGGTGGAAGTTTGGGACTTTGCCCAAATCCTTGTCTCATTTATCTTTGCCCACTCATTTTAACTCCTGTCAGTGATTTTTGCCTTTGAGACAGTTATTGCCACAGTGCTTACAGGAACATGATTTTTCTAGCTCCATCATTCCATCAGTAGTTACTAATTTGAATTCTCCAAGGACGTTTGCTCATTCTTATTCATTCACTGGATTACTCATTCACAGACCAGACTTGATGGCATTCATGTTACTCCATGAAGAAAATCCAGTGCTATTATTATCTTTCCTGCTATTGACATTACTGTAGACTTAGCCGTTGGTAGCACCTTCAAGTTTTACTGAAGAAATGTGATTAATAATCAAGACCTGAATGCTGGTTGTACTCTTTGCTCCCCCCCCCATAGATTTAAGGTCTTCTCTCATGGTATGAGTACGAGTAAAAGATGTGTATACATTCTTGCTCACGTGAGCGCTCATCTGTATCTATTTTGTTTCATTTTGTCTGTGCTTGTACACACACATTCTTGAGTTTAGGCTGATGTAGCCTCTCTGCTTTAGTACCACAGGGCTTGGTCTGCCAATTTCCTTTCCGTTTTTACAATTCCCCTTTCTAACACTGAGACCTTTGGCTCTCAGAATCATCAGTATACGTAATCCTCTGTCCAGCCTCAGCCACCCAGTGGGAAATCTCACAACCGCAAGTTCATACCGCCGGGAAACAATCTTTAGCTAGACTGCGGTGTGTACAGACAGCTGTTCTTGTCTTTAACTAGAGTATGTGCTCACAGTTCTGTTTGTGAGAACTTCTCAGCTTGGTTCTTTTCTCAGACAATTCAGTGTGGTCATTCCTTTACAATCAATATACACGAAGATATTAATTTCTGAATATTTATTTTGTATCCTGTTGTCTTACTCAATTCTTTTATGATTTTAGATAATGTTATTAGTTTAATGCTTCCCAGTAACATACTGTCTATATGTAGACATAGCTTTACCTCTTTCGTACCAATTCTAATACCTTTAATTTATTTATTTTTCCAATTGTATTTACTAATACTTTCAGTATAAAGATGAATAGTAAAGGAGATACCAGGGATCCTCTTTGAATTACATATCTGTGTGGAAATCTTTTCAGTGTTTTCCAGTAAAGACTCTGATTTAGGATTCAGGGGTATATATATATTTTTTTTTCTTGCTAAGAAAATGTTTATTGCAATTGTTCTCTTTATAGTGAATGAATGTTGAACTTTATTAAGACTTTCTAATGCATGTGAAAATACTCATCTTATGTATGACAGTATTAGATTCCTGGTGTGAAGCCAGGTGTTCCCCTGAAACAATTATCCCTTTTATTGTGATTACTTTTATTTTTCAATTGTAATTCCTCCTACATTTCTCATGTTGTAGAATTGTGCCACCCCATATTTTCATGGTCAAGTTAACTAACAGTTTATTTGCTGTTCAAAAGTTCAGAGTATAGAATTATTAAGTTACTGCTTAGTGATTTTTAATTATTAATTTTTACCTTTGCTCTTTACTATTTCCTCCATGTCGAATCATTTTTTATTTAGCCAGCCAGAAGCTCATGAATTCATTTATTTTAGCTCTTTGTATTTATCTTAATGGAATGTTTACCTGCTCTGCAGAAATCATGTGACCCTCCTATACCGCAGTGGGCTTTTTGTGGAAATTAACCGACCAATTCTCAAAGTTCCTGCATCTTCCTCAAATGGGAAAGCAACCACAGACCAGAAGCCACATAGACTTTGAAAGTCAGACAGACATGGCTGAAGTCCCAGTTCCACTCCTGTCTTCTTGTCTGACTTTGGGAAATTCCAATTGCCTGATTCTCCATTTCCTTATTTATAAAACAGAAATAGTGATATCTCATCTGGCAATTAAATGAGCTAATGTCTAAGTGCCTTACACGGCGTGCTTAAAAATTGGCTTGCTCTCTGTCTCCTTCCTAAGTTTCAATCAATAACATGATTGAATAAAATGAGGGAAGGATAGGAGCACCTTGATGGAGCACGGTGGAGCAGTGTGGCCAGTCCCTTTTCATCTAAGCCTTCTGCAGAAGGTATGCACTGTGCTCCAGGAAACCGGGTTGGTGGCCTGACTATGACAAGGACTGTGACCATCTGACCCAAAGTCCCTGCATGTCTTAAATTTTATGATATATACTCATTCCCCTCTTACCTTTCTGCAATTTCAATAATTTCTATTCAATCATAACATAAAAATATTAAATGACAAGTTCTAGAAATTAGTAACTTTAGACTTTTTAAAATGGCCATTATTCTCTGTAGGGCAGTCATAGCTTGTGCCAACAGCTTGGTGCTGCGCGGATCATCTTGTCCGGAGCATCCCTACTGTGTACCTTACCCAGCTTTTAGCCACTTTGCAGATAGCTTGGAATTCAGATCAGATGTCTCTTTCTCACAGTGCTTGTAGTCAAGCCACCCTCATTTTACTTAGTGATGGCCGTAAAACAAGTGAAAGAAGGGAAAAAGATACAGTAATGTATATATAGTTATGCAGGATGGTTTGGATAACTGTACAGCTAATTTCTGCTGGTCTTTTGAAAGGAACTGTTAATGTTTTTGTTGTTGTTATTGTTGTTTTTTGTTTGTTTTATGTGGCCAGCTCAGCCCACCCCGGGGGCAGGGCTGGCATGGCTTGCGGTGCTAGGGATTGAACCACAGTCCCTGTGCTTGCCTAAGTTTGCCTAAGCAGGCATTTTAGACCACTGAGCTATCTCGCCGGTCCAACGTTTTTTTTTTTTTTTTCTTTAAACTAATCTTGCATATTTATGTCTGGTAGCCTGAACAACTAATTTGAAGATAACATCATGCAATACAACACAGCAACCATTGTTGAATTCCTAATGATAATGATAATAATAATAATCGCCTTAAAGTGCAAGAGTAGAAATGATGGCAATTTTAACACATTATGTTGTTCTGCTGTGATTGTCCAATTTTATTAGCTATTGTTGTAAATTGTGTACTGTGCCTAATTTATAAGCTAAATTTTACCATAATGTGTGTGTGTAGGGAAAAACCACAGTATTTAAAGGTTTCAGTACTTTCTGGAGTTTCAGATGTTCCCTGGAGGTGGGTGCTGGTACCACTGTGTGCTTGTTTATTTTTTACTTCACAGATAATTCACATTCTTTATGTCTAGAGCAGCCTTCCTCTGAGCCATTTGTCAAAAGATATTAATAAGGCAACTAGTCATGTGATTAAATAAATACAAGTGATATTGAAAAACACTGATAAAACTGTTCCTTACTCTCTTTTCTGTCTCCTTCTGGGTTGTAGCACATGCTGAGAAGTACCTTGAGCCCCTTGAAGTGATTATCGCGGAGACCTCTGTGCTGACCATTTGCTTGAGAGGGCCAGCTCACGTCCACTTCACTCAGCTGGACTCCCGGGTGGATGGCGCTCCTGGAGAGGGTGTGGCGCTCGACTCGTGAAGCTTGGTAAGTGTACTCACACTTTTACTGTGTAGCGTCATGACCTGTTCTTAAGTATTTCTGTTTTCTTATAAGTTGGAAACTTACATTAAAAGAATAAACGCATGATGAAAGGGAAGAACAGGCTTTCGTGGAAGGTCATTCCTACCGGCTTATTAGTAGCCGGGCATCTGCTGATGTATTTGAAGGTGTCTTTATTACTTGTGTGCAGTATAGGGAGTTAACATTTAGCACAAGTGGAATTTCATGACAAGCATACTTGTTTTAGAAAATAACTATGACACAGTTTTATGAAACCTGTAATTGCTGCAGTCTGTGTTATTTTTAAGTGCTGTAAAATCAATAGCTGTAAAAATAATCATCTTCTCGAAGTCGGTTATGATGAAAATGCCCCTGTTGTGACTATCTGTATGCAAATTCCTCTCCAGCTGGGGCTCCCTTGCAGGTATGGCTGGTCACACAGGTTCACGTCCTCTGCACATCCTGTCCTCAGAGTCACAGTCTTCTGTGCCATAGACTAAATTGCTAAGTGCTCCATTCAGAGTTAATTATCCAAACAAAGAATTTGTGCTGGGAAAAGACAGTCGCTTGGAGTCCATGGCAGAACTGGAGTATCCGCTGCAGTCACTTGGGGGAGAAAAAGATGAGTGAAGGGTGACTGCATCGTTTGCAAAGCTGGTGGCTTTCTGAGAACAGAAGCTTAGGGATGAAGACAGAAGCTAGAGCCATGACAAAGCTGCCCAGGGGACAGGAGAGTCAAATGAAGGTCTGCTTTATCACGCATGCAGGTGATTCTGCCCCTCAAAGATCTGAGACTGAAGACTCGATGCTGGGCCTCTGAGACATAACTCAGAAAGCGATTGAATAATCAGGGAAAAACTTGGACTCTTGAGATGCGCCGTCCTCCATGATGTTGAACAACTGGTTTTTTGGGGTTTTTTTAATGCATGTGGTAGCAGGGATCGAAGCCGGGACCTTGCACTTGCCAGGCAGGTGCTGATGCTGTTGAGGTGTCTCCCCAGCTCAAGCTTCAGAAGCTTTCTGTGGACGTGGATGGGACAGCCCCGAGGCGATCTGTGCTCGAGCCTTGCTGATGGGAACCCGGAAAGGCTGGAGTAGCAACATCCTGCCGTGGCGCAGCGGCTGTTAGCCTGGGCCCTGGGTAGATAGATGGGGTCTCCGCTTTGATTCCTAGCATGCTTTCGGCCATGAATCCTGGAGTCACTGTGACAATTAAATGAAGTAATTTATACGGGGTGCATGAGGCTGATTGGGGCAACAATAAATGCTCAATACATGGGCATTCTTATAGTAAGCAATTGTACAAATAATTGTCAGAGCTTTTGGGGGCTTCTTGCTGATCTCGATCTTAATATAGCTTTCACTTTGAGAACTTAAACTTCTCATCTATGCACAGTCTTTGCAGCCAGTCATAGTTAGGAAAATATTACTATATTTTTTCAGGCCTCGATTTTGGGATTTTAATGTTGACACTTTTATCTACTGTGAAGATCATTATATATTAAAATTTTTATCATGTCTGATATGCCACTTCCTGTCATCTTTTGGGTAGATATTGAGTAAATTAACTTTGCTAAATCTCCTTATCTTCAGAATGGAAACAGCACACTGTCAGAACAATTATGTCTGCAAAATAAGACCCTGCACAGTGACACAGCAGAACCTAATGCCTGCTTACTACAGCTAACACCCCTACTACTGCTAATAGTATAATTATTCTTCCTAAGTGTAGTCTTAGCTACCTCTGATGTGCTTGTTGATATTGCCAGTGTTTCACTTAAGAAACTCAAAACTGAATTTTCAATAGAATTCCTGATTAAATATTAATATATTGAAAAAATTTCTGGGCATGTTTTAACTTTCAAAAACTTGACGTGTTGTCATTATTTCATGTATCTATTTAAGACACATGTGTCAAATACCAATAGATTTTATTTGATATCGCATCTTCAGTTGAGTAGAAATTACTTTGTGATGTTACTGACTTATGTCCAAGGACAAATGCTTTGAAACTTTCCAGACTTTGAAACTTTTCCAGGGAAAGTTACATAACTTCCATTTTAAATTACTTTACACTTTGATGATTCTTGATAGAAGAGTTTTTTCAGTGTCACATTTACTTAGAGCTTTTAAACTAGTGACCCAGTCTTGTGAATCTACAAAAGTCTTAAGTGCTGGATAACCTCGGTTCCATTACTCTCTCATTTTTTTAATGTGTTTAGTACAGAGTCTACAAGGTCTCTCTACACAGATTGGACTCGCAGTGATTCCCCTGTTTTCAGCCTCCCAAGCTCTGGGATTACAGGGTCTTGCCACCACGCCAGTCTCAATCGCCCTCTCAGCGCGCCCCAGAGACAGGGCTGGAACGCCATGCTGGGGTTCGAACCCCAGCCCCTGCACCTGTCTAGGCAGGTGCTTTCGTCCACTGGGCTATTTGGCTGGTCCTACTCTCGCATTTTTGATGTTGATTGTTATAGTAGTTATTGACAATCTAAGTGATTTATTGTATTGAGTTTATATTTGTTAGGTAGATTTCAGAGAAAAAGCCTTTTGATACCTAAGATATATATAATCTTTTATTTGTGTTCTACAATATGACTGTAAGAAGATCACAGCCTGGTGCATTTTCTTTTTATTTGTAAAACTCAGTTTTATCTAGGAATAGCAAAATGTTCAGTGTAGGCTGAACTAAGAGATCTCTTTAGGTGCACAGACAATTGAACAGTACGAATTCATGGTAGAGCAGTCAGGATCATGGCCCAACAAAAAAGAGTACGGCATCTATTTATTTATGGGGCCCAGAGATGTAGTTCAGTGGCACAAGAGCCTGCCTGGCAAGTACAAGGTTACGAAACAACTAAAGACAAACCAGAAGATAGAAAGGAAGGAAGGAAGGAAGGAAGGGAGGGGGGAGGGGAAGGAAAGGCAAGTTGAGAACCCTTCTATTTTTTATGTTTACCCCCAAACGAAACCTCTTTGTGTAAGAGTAAGCTCACTAGACTGAAAGTTCTTGGAACAATTTAATGTGACTTTAGGCAGCTCATTATCTAGGTCTTTTGAGCTTTAGCAATTTGTAGAAATTAAGGGAGATGTTTGGGGAAGTGGTTTTTGAGCTTGAAAGTTTTAAAAGAATGACCCCCGTGAATATTGCTGTTCCCAGCGGCACAGCATAGAACCCTGTGGTAACAACGTGAAGGGACTCAGTGTAGAAGGCTCTCAGTGGCAAAGCATTCCAAAGTGGAGCGTTGCGGTAGCCCTGGCACCATGCTGAGCTGTGTCCCGTGTGGGCCTCCTGCCTCCTCCCCTCAGGGTGTAGGGCTGCATCTCACTCCGGGCAAGCCTTGCTCCTTTGGAGGAAATAATGGTATTGACAGTCAACATTGCATTTTCTTTCTTCTTTCTTTTTTTCTTTCGTTCGTTCATTCTTTCTTTCTTTCTTTGGCACAGGGTCTTGCTACACAGCTCAGACTCATAGTGGTCCTCCTCTCTCAGCCTCCCCAGTGCTGAGATTATAGGTGTGCATCACCATGTCCAGCTTTGGGGTTGACACAGTGCAGTCAGGGTTCCAACGGCCAGCACAGCATGTGGTACTGGGGATCGAACCCAGGTCCTTGTGCTTGCCAGGCAGGCCCTTAGACCGCTGAGCTATCTCCTCAGCCCAACGTTGTAATTTCATTAAATATTAAATACATACTAGATTGAGTCCTAAAGATGGAGAACTCCCTGTTTTTGGTGTCAGAGAAAGTTTAAGCAAGGCATAAGCAAGAGTCTATCATGGTAGGTGTGATTAAGTCATTTCAAATTTTATGTTTTCCAGAATGTAAGTAGGAACTGTGGTGAGTTCCCTGTGATGTACGCCCAAGAACTGTGGTGAGTTAGTAAGAGACACCGCTTTCCTGGTGTGAACTGGGTTGGTGGGAGTCAGCAGGAAGCTGCCAGTGGCGGTGTAAACTTGGTCCTGATTGGGTCCATGAACTTGTAATTCAACGGAGTAGAGTCAAGTGCTACTACCAATTTTAGCCTATTTACATCTGAAAATCACTCTAATATTTCAATCCATGCCTAAGTGGCCTATAAAATGGTTCCTAGGTGACTGCATGGGGAAACATTCTGTTTGCATAGTCAAATGTGAAAGTAGTGATGTACTAAGAAATACTGAGCTCCCGGCCCTGATTTCATTCAGCACCCTACTCATTCAGCTCCCATCCTGCGTATTACCCTGTCACAGCATAGGACAAGCACTCCTGGGCTCTCAGCCTCATTGACTCATTTTGTTATCCACACCCCAGCCCCAGTTCTTGAAAGTAATACACACGCAATAAATATGTAAGATGCAAAGGCTGAAGGATAACTATATGTGGTACGTGGCCAGGGTCATTTAACTAGCCATCATTATAATTAGTAAGATACTTTTTATTTTCTCATTGACTGATAAATCCTATGATTGATTTATTCACTCAAGAATGATTTCCTGGGGGCTGACGAGATGGCTCAGTGGTCTAAAGCACCTACTTGGAACAAGCTTGGCAAAGCACAGGGACCACGGTTCGATCCCCCAGCACCACATGCCAGCCAGCCCTGCCCCCTGGTGGGCTGAGCTGGCCACACACACACATACACACACACACACACACACTAAATAAATAAATGTAAAAAAAAAAATTTAAAAAAAAGAATGATTTACTGGACATACATACACTCTGTGTTCAGCACTTTTCAGATGCTAAACTATCAGTAAGAAAAATTAACAACAACAAAAAAATTCCTACCCATATGGGCCTTCTATTTTGGTCAATTAAAGTCCTACTGACCAAACTTTTTAAATACCTTAAAACAAAAGGATGGGTTTTCAAGACTTCATTTATCATCCAAATTTTAAAATACATTTTCTAGACAATGAAAAGCAAGGGGGGAAAATTCACACAATATTCAAAAGTCTATGAATTAAGACTGAGAGACTATTACTACAGATGCTAGTGTA